CCCCCCGCCTCGTTCCCTAGCTTGAGGCTGTTGTGTCACACGTTCAGAAGGCGCCGAGTCCTGCTTAACCTTGCCTAGAGCAACCGCTTTCCGTGTGGTACCCCTGGGCCTTTTTATGTGTGCACACTGGTGACATTTCGATTCCACGGAAATGGTTCTCTCCCCTGGAGTTAGTTGAGAGGTAGGGGTGGGTGGGATTGGAACAGGTAAAGAAAGATCGGCAGTTCTTCGTCTGTCATTCAGAGCTGCATACACTTTCTCTAACACTGGCTTTGCAAAGGGACAGTATATTGCCCACTCACCATGGAGGTTTTTATACTGGAGGGTCTGCTGCCTAGCTATTGGCGTTCCTGCTAAAGAAAACCCCATACAAGTTTAATGCCCCCCCCCCCAAAATCATAGCTAGAATATTTCTAAAGAAGGGGTCCCCAACCTCCTTGACCCTGCGGGCCTTTCTAGAGTCCTGACATAGCATGATGGGCATAGTGACAAAATGGCCGCCAAAAAATGGCTGTTGCAGGAGGCGGAGCCAGCCACAAAACGTCTGCCACTGCAACGTTTTTTAAAAATCTGCACAGCCCACCAGTTCTCGATTGCTCAACTGGAAGCGAAGAGGAGGAGATTGTACTTATACCCCGCCCTTCACTACCCGAAGGTGTCTCAGAGTGGCTTACAAACTCCTTTCCCTTCCCCTCACCACAACAGACACCCTGTGAGGTAAAAGAAGAAGAAAAAGAGATTGGACTTATACCCCGCCCTTCACTACCCGAAGGAGTCTCAGAGTGGCTTACAAACTCCTTTCCCTTCCCCTCCCCACAACAGACACCCTGTGAGGTAAAAGAAAGAAAAAAAGAGATTGGATTTATACCCCACCCTTCACTACCCGAAGGAGTCTCAGAGTGGCTTACAAACTCCTTTCCCTTCCCCTCCCCACAACAGACACCCTGTGAGGTAAAAGAAGAAGAAAAAGAGATTGGATTTATACCCCACCCTTCACTACCCAAAGGTGTCTGAGAGCGGCTTACAAACTCCTTTCCCCTCCCCTCCCCTCCCCACAACAGACACCCTGCGAGGTAAGTGGGGCTCAGAGAGCTCTGAGAGAACTGCTCTTGAGAGAACAGCTCTGAAAGAACTTGTGACTGACGCAAGGTCACCCAGCTGGCTGCATGTGAAGGAGTGGGGAATCAAACCCGGTTCTCCCAGATTAGAGTCCATGCTCCTAACCGCTACACCAAACTGGCTCTCATTGCTGGGAAGGAGCCCCACCTGGCTGTACCCGCTTTCTAAAGCACTTGGTGGGCACCATGACACCCACAGGCACCACACTGGGAACCCCCGGTCTCAAGGCCCCAAACCGCTCAGAACGCAGAGGCCGTCTTTGTTTCCTACCCTGGATTTAGTTTTAAACTGTCCCCCTTGCCACCTTTGTTCAGTACCAGATGTGTGACTGTCCCAGTTCTTTTAGCTACGCTTGCAAATACCCTCAGGGCGGCTACTGGCTTCCCTCCAGCCTACAGAATGATGCTCCGTCTGTGAAACCATTTTTTAAAAAGCCTGCAACAATCCGTTGCTCTGCAGCTGCTTCTGGATTACAGCAAGTTGTTCTGGCTTTTGCACGACATAAACTGAAAAGGGGACGAGGGAGGCTTCATAGCGAAGGGCAGTCTCCTGTACCTTATACATATACATCTTGCATTTATTTACAAAACCATATATATATATATACAACACGAGATCGTTTCCAAGCCTAGGATTCTCCTCTTCCCTGACGTTTTAAATACTTTAGGCAGGGTCCTCGACTTGAGGAAGCAAAGCTCCCTGCTGTAAACACGGTTGCCTCCCCTTGTGGGGGGTCAGATCCCAGGCGGGAGGAATCGACAAGGCCTGCTGGTGGGAGTGAAGACTTTTGCTCTGACAAGCAGGGGCTTACTGTGCCGAGAGGGGTAGCCCCCCCATCTCTTGCAGTCAGTGCTGAGGGGTGTCCTTTCCTTCCCCCTCCCCGGCAAGCCCCGCAAGCACCCCAGGACGGCTCTTCCCACTCCTGCTTGGAGGAGAGGCACCTTTAGGGTTCGACGCGTCTTTCCGGGCAGGGTGGCTTCGGCCTCGTCGGACTCCAGGCAGCCACTGCTTTTGTGCTAGAGACGAAATGAGTCGGGCGAGGGGTGCCGCTGCTAGTTTTGGAAAACGTGGGAATGAAGTGCGGCTGGGGGGGGGCAGAGAAGAGAGCTGGAGAGGCAGGCAACGAAGGCAAAACACCGCCCTGGAGTGATGCTGCTCTCTGGCTTGAGAGGCGCGGGGAGACCCTGAGTGTTCTGTGTTTGGGGGAGGGTCCTTCCCAGGCAGCTTGAGCCCCCCCCGCCCTGTGCTCCTTTGGAGGGACCGCTGCAGTGCCGCGGATGCCGCTTGGTCCAGGAGTCTGAGGCCGGTCCTCCCAGGTCATGGAGAACTTGGTTCAAGGCTGGCGGGGCTTGTCGCATCCCTCTTCTCCTCTTCCTGGGCACAAAACTCCAAAGCTACTGCAGCGGGCATGTGCCCAGGGACAGCTTAGTGCCGAGGGACCCCTTAATCCTTGAAGCCCTGGATGCTGCACAGGATTCTCTTCTGGTGGCCAGAAAGCGTCACACCCATTTGCTTCAAGTCCCTGCAGAGAAGCAAAGGGAAACAGGAAGAGAAGACGATGATATTGGATTTATACGTTACTCGGAATCTCGGAGTGGCTTACAATCTCCCACAACAGACACCCTGGGAGGTAGGTGGGGCTGAGAGAGCAGCTCTGAGAGAACTGTGACTGGCCCAAGGTCACCCAGCTGGCTGCACGGGGAGGAGTGGGGAATCAAACCCGGTTCTCTCAGATTAGAGTCTGCACTCTTAACCACTACACCAAACTAAGAGGGGAAGAGTGCTACAATGATGGACTTCCGATTCTTTTTTTTAACTATAACTGTACCGATATGTAACAACAGAGCTCATAGAATAGAACTGGCTAAGTTTATGGACTGGAATCTTTCTCAGATGTCACTGAGAGCAGCTGTCTCACTAGGATGAGCAAGCAAGCATGGCTGGAGGGAGATGTTCTGCAGTGTTGGGAAGGTGCGCATCAGAATTTTCAGAAAGCTGTCAAACGAGACAATTGGTGTCCTCTGCATATCAAAACACAGCCGCTTAGTCATCAGAGTTCAAAACACAATGGGTGTATATAAACCCCACTGCTGAACAACAGTTAGATTCTGCGCGTCTCGTTTTAAAGCTGTGCACTAAACCTTCACAGAAGAACAGTTTGACTGACTTTTCTAAAACATTCGGTTTCTGCTTTTCAATTAATTAGTGAACTACACGAAGTTAAAAAAGGAGGCCTAAATTCACAGAGGAGAGGCCTACCAGGAGCCCTTAGCCGTGAGGGCTGAATGTGCCGCCTGTGTTAGAGGCACAGAGAGGCGGCGTCCCTCTGAAAACCAGGGAGTAGAGGGCAAAAAGAGGGGTGGGGAATTGCCTTAGTGCCGCGCCGGCAGTCTTGGCAAAGTGGTGCGATTGGCCACTACGGGACAGAGAATGTTGTACTACAGAACCTTTGATCTACGTGGGGCTCTGAAGTCTTTTGGCACACCTTACTTCGCACAGGTCATGTTAGGCACCCCAAGCCTCTCTGCTTTGCAGGTCTCCATCCTGTCTTGATTGGGAGCCCCGTGTCCCATCTTTCCTCCCTAGTTGGTCCGGTAATGTCTGCAGGACAGCTCAGGGGTTTGCTTTTATGCTATCCCCGTGCCTTCCATGCCAGCTTGACACCGAGCAATTTAATGGGTGAAGCTTCTTCCTCCCACTCATCCCCCACGCCAGGAAAAGGGTCATGTCTGATGACTTCTTGGCTCCTGCTCAAGGCGAAAAAGCGGGCCCAGGAAAGAAGGACTGTTGGGACAGTGTTTTAGTGGTGGCAACTAGTGGAACTGAATGGGCACCAAGCAAGGGGTTAGGGCAGGGGTGTCAAACATGCGGCCCAGGGGCTGGGTCAGGCCCCCGGAGGGCTTCCATCAGGCCCGCAGTGGAACTGGCCATCTCCTGCTTCCAGTTCTGCTGCTGCTGCATCACAGTTTGCTTCGCCAGACTCTCTTAATCACTCATTTCATGTTTTAATCTGGGTCCGAGACTCAGAACTCTGAGCATGAGATTTCTGTGACGAATGGCGATAAAGCAAAAGTAGTTTTGCAGCTTACAGAGCTAATGTTTTAAGCATGTTTTTATTTTAAGTAAAAAAACCTTTGTGTTTGTGTCCTTTATAAAGTTTATATCTCATGACTAGGAGCCCTTCGCAAGGGCCCCCAGGGGATGCGTACGTTCGCACCCTCTCTCAGTCCGCTGGTTCACGGACCGTGTCCTCGGAGCACCCGAGAGACATGTCCGCCATCGTTTCGCCAGATTCCGCCCTTGTAACAAATGAGTTCGACACCCCTGGGTTAGGGTATGTCAGTTTGGGAGGCAGGATGGGAGGTTTTTAGGATCCCTTCGCTAATCCCGTGACTTCACTTCTTCGGATCCTGGCTGAGCAGCCCTGCAGCCATTTGGACTGCAGTTCCCCCTTCCGCTGCCACTTCTATCCCCCAAGACCCAGACCTCCCGGCCGCCGGTGCCTGCACTTACTCGGCAGTGAGCTCCAGGATGGACTCCATGGTGTTCAGGCCGGCCGTGCGGAAGTTGATGATGTACCGTTTCATGCGGATGGACTCCAGCCACTCGGGGATAGACCGGTAGGGGATCCCGTCAGAGCCGCTACAGCTGGGCAGCCGGAGTGTCACCCTAGGGATGCGGAGAAACACTTTTAGGTCCAATGTGGGCAGTTAAAAACCACAGCCTGTGAGAGGATCAGGCATTTCCCTCTAATGGGGGGGGGCTATAGCAAAAGGAACTGGGTTGATTCCATCTTGGATTTATGATAACTGTAATTTATCGAGCACCGTTGTTTTTAAGTGTTGGATGTCCTTACTGTGTTTTATATGCTTTAATTATGGCACGGCTAATTACCTTGCCCTTGTTAGCCACCCTGAGCCCATTGGGGAGGGTGGGATACAAATGTGAAAAATAAATAAATAAAATAAATAAGGTCTGCTCTTCTCCGCAGGACATGGTGGTGTCCCATGGCAAGGGGCAACCTGCGCAGCGGTCACTCTTTGCCCTTGCTCCTGTCTGTCTGTCTGTCTTCTTCATCATCCATCCATCCATCCATCCATCCATCCATCCATCCATCCATCCAGGGAAACTGCTACCATATCAAGGAGAAAGACTGCATATCCATTTCTAAAGAGTACCATGAGAAACAGCTCTGTATAGGCTCCCCCATAAGCAGGGAAACAGTGCCAGACCGTAGCGATTGGCATAGAATTCAGAGGGCAGAGAGTTTCTGATTCCATGTTCTTTTTATTATTTATTAACCTATTTGACTTTTACCCCGCCCTACCCTGCCGAGGCAGGCTCAGGGCGGCTTGCAAAGAAAACAACAAAGAAAACAACAATATAAAATTCAAAATAAAGTTATTAAAACCATTAATACGGCGATGGAAGGGTCGAGTTTCTAGCCATCAGGGCTCCAAAGCTTTGAAATAAAAGGATGCAGGTTAAACGTTTGCTCAAAGTTCAGGACCGACAGCAACGGTGCCCAAGATGCCGCCCCTGGGGCCACGCTGTGTGGTTTGCAGCACCTCCCCCCCCCCCTGAAGAAGGAGAAGAGATTGGATTTATACCCCGTCCTTCACTACCCAAAGGTGTCTCAGAGCGGCTTACAAACTCCTTTCCCTTCCCCTCCCCACAACAGACACCCTGTGAGGTAAAAGAAGAAGAAGAAGAGATTGGATTTATACCCAAAGGTGTCTCAGAGCGGCTTACAATCTCCTTTCCCTTCCCCTCCCCACAACAGACACCCTGAGGTTGGTGGGGCTGAGAGAACTCTGACAGAAACTGCTTTTTTCAAGGACAGCTCTTGTCAGAACTACAGCTTGCCCAAGGCCATCCAGCCAGGTGCGAGTGGAGGAGGGGGGAATCAAACCCGGTTCTCCCAGATTAGAGTCCACTGCTCCTAACCACTACCCCAAACTGGCCTAGGGAAAAGAAGTCCGGCTGGCTCTGGGATGCTGCAATTGAGCAACCTCCTGCCCCCGTCTTCAAAATGGGGAGCAGAACCCAGGTGGGGCTCATGACAATGAGATAAGGCTGGCCTGTTTTACTTCAGCCAAGGTCTATTAGGGTCCATGTAGCTGAGCTGTGCACCCCGTGAGTTTGTACCGATGAGACTGTGTCAGTGTTCTGCAGAGCTCCTCCTTCCCTGTAACTAGCAATACCGGACTACGTAAAATAATATGTATTAATCATGCAAAATAAGAGAACATAAAATTCTGCACACATTCTCAGGCTGGAGAATGTAGCTTTTTTGGGGGAGCGGATTTTTAAAAAGTGCACAGAATACCCCATAGCTCTGCCCATGGAGCATCGCCCCACACACTCACCTAGGGTCAAAGTCTGCCACAGCCCGAAGCAAATGCGGGCTGGAGGTGAAGTGCTCCAGCTGAGTATGGATCTCCCGGAAACGGGGCCTCCGCGTCCGATCGTACGACCAACACACTTTCATGAGCTCGTAAAGAATGGAGGGGCAGTCCACAGGCGGGGGCAGCCGGTACCCATCCTCTATGCTCTTCATCACCTGCCCAGGTAAAAGATGAGGAACCCCTGAGAGGGTGAAGCATTTAGCAGGAGGAGCTAGAAGTGCCCAGTGAGGGTGTGGTGGACTTTCTCATGAGCATTACATCCAAATCCAGGGATTCCTTTGTAATGCAAAAAGTCTATGTCATACAAGAGGGATGCAGGAGAATAACGGAGGGTCTTTGGGTGTGGTGCTAGAACTGGTCACTCCATGAAGGGAAGAGGTAGAAACTGATACTAGGAGAAAGGGTAATTTATAAAGTCCCTGCAGGGCTGAGTCCACTTCAGCTCTGCTTGCTCAAAAGGTCGAATTCTGCCTTTGCCCCCATACCTCATGACAATGTTCCCTCTAAGCTGAGGAGTCTTGTCATACAAGAGGGATGCAGGAGAATAACGGAGGGTCTTTGGGTGTGGTGCTAGTCCTGGTCACTCCATGAAGGGAAGAGGTAGAAACTGGTACTAGGAGAAAGGGTACTTTATCCTGCAGGGCTGAGTCCACTTCAGCTCTGCTTGCTAAAAAGGTGGAACTCTGTCTTTGCCCCCATACCTCATGATTACTCATGTCCCCATTAGGGGTATGCAAAACAACAACAACAACCCCTCGTTATTTTTCAGGTTTGGGTATACTGAATCCGAAAAATATCAGTATTTCCTGATATTCCCGAATCTCAATACCGGCATGGTATTCGGATTCTGAAAATATTCGGGCAACCTGAATTTTTTCAGCTCCATTATAGCCAATGGGGACCGTTGTAGTCAATGGAGAATCAATCTGTGGGTATCTGGGGCTCTAGGGATGGCTGTTTTTTGAGACACAGGCACCAAATTTGCAGCATACTTGAGCTGCAAGAGAGGATCAGCTGGGGTGGCGGGAGCTGACAGCTCTGCAGGTATCACTGATATATCCAAATAAAAGCCCCCCCTCATTAGCTTTTTTCGAGCTCAGCTATACCAGTAGCCGAATAAAGATGTCTGATAATAATACCCGAAAAATACTGATAAGGTGTTTTTTGGGTATTTTTCTGATTCGGTTTATGCCGAACCCACACCTCTAGTCCCCATATGGCTTCAGGTGGGTAGCCGTGTTGGTCTGTAGTAGAAGAGCAAGACCTGAGTCGAGTAGCACCTTAACATTCAGATGCCTGGAGTGGGAATCCATCAACCTCCTGAAAAAACTTGCCGATACAAATTGCTAATCCCCGATGAAGGGGGCTTTGACTCTCGAAAGCTTACGCCCCGGAAATCTTGTCGGTCTTTAAGGCGCTCCTGAACTCAGGTCTTGCTCCCCATTTGGTTTATTCCGATATGAAAACACCTCCCGTGTCACAGTGCCCAAACTGCAAACCTCTTTCCCCTTACCTCCTGATTACTCATGTCCCCGTATGGCTTGTCGCCGTATGAAAACATCTCCCACGTGACGATGCCAAAACTCCACACATCGCTGGCCGAGGTGAAGATTCGATGAGCTATGGCCTCTGGGGCCGTCCACCGGATGGGGATCTTGCCGCCCTGTCGAAAGAGAGCTTGCAGCTGAAACGGGAGCGACTGACTTGGCCTCGCCCTGACCTGGATAGCCCAGGCTAGTCCAATCTCGGAAGCTAAGCAGGGTCGGCCCTGGTTGGTACTCGGATGGGAGCCCACCAAGGAAGTCCAGGGTCAAGATGCAGAGGCGGGCAATGGCAAACCACCTCCGAACTTCTCTTGCCTTGAAAACCCTGTGGGGTCGCCATAGGTCAGCTGCAACTTGATACCCCCTCCCCCAGCTCAGCCTTTGTTCTGGGAGAGATACCACTTTGTATTGCAACGTCCTTTGCTTCTGCAGTCACTGGAAAACAGCCCTCAAGGGCCAAAGAAGTTCTGGTGTGTTGCAAACAGAGGAAGCCCTCCCCAAGCTCAGTCCTGCTGGTTTTCATGGAGATGGGATCTGAATGGGGACAATCCCCTCTGGAAAGCACCTTTCTGATGGAGAGGGCATGGCGTAGTGGTGGAACATCTGCTTTGCGTGCAGGAAGTCCCAGGTTCATTCCCTGACGTCTCCAATCGAAAGGACATGGGGAAGGGTCAAAGACCTCCGCCTGAGACCCCGGAGAGCTGCTTCCAGTCAGAACAGACAACACCGACCTTGACGGACCGATGGCCTGACTAAGTATAAGGCCACTTCGTGTGTATGTGCTCAGGCATATAAGGTCATGGGCTGACCGGGATGGATGCCGGCTGACCTTTTGGAAGTGATTGCCTCTCACCTTGTCAGAGGCGAGGAGATTATTGGCATTTGGGTTGCCATCCTGCCTCCCACTCCTAGGATTAGTTTTGCAAGACTTAAAAAAAATAAAAATAAAGGGTGAAGAACAAATGTATAAATGAATGGACGAAACCAGGCAGCACTTCAGAGTTTGAAATAAAGGCTGGGTTGCGGGCTGTGAGTCTGAGAAGGAGCCAGATTGGTGGCCGAACAGGGGGCTGATTCTCTGGTATGCACATCTGCTATGCAAATTGTGAAACCGGGAGAACGCAGAGCCCCCTTAGAAGGGGTCCAGTGGGACAGATGTTCAGTCTCCTGTATATGAAATATGATCTCCGCAAGGGTCAATGGGCTGATCTCCCATTCAGCCTTCCTTCAGGCCAGAAGACTGATCCACTTCCTCGCTCCGGGGGATTTAGGTCCGGGCAATGTGTTGCTGAGTGTGAAATTACAGGAGTGCCTTTCTGTAATGCTTCAGTCATCCTGAAGGTCCGCAGTCCCCCATTCCTGCCCCACTTTCCCTGAGACGCATGCATAGCACCACTTCCCCTTTAACAACCAACCCCCCCCACCAGCAACTCCCTGCCCCACTCAGCTCCTTCCCACATTACCTTTGTTTCATACGTTCCTTCCACGTCGTTTTCCAAGATTCGGGAAAGACCGAAATCGGACACTTTGCACTGAAGGTTATGGGATACCAGAATGTTACGGGCCGCCAGGTCTCGGTGGACGTAGTTGCGATCGGACAAGTAGGTCATCCCCGCGGCGATGCCTTGCAGCATGGTGACTAATTGCACCGCACTGAACTTGTCTATGTTCTCCTGAGAGAGACAAAGCAAGGAACATGCGTGGCCCAAGGTGAGTCTTTGTACGCCGTCGTCAATCAGAGCTGAGAACATCCAGTTGTCGGCAGTACTCCCTCTAAGCTGTGGAGTCTTGTGAGCGAAAATTCTACTTTGTGAACGACTGGCACTAAAGTTGTGAGCGAGCGATTGGGCTGCTGCATCAATTAGTTTGCTCTGGAGCCATCCTTCGTGAGCTAAGGCAAAACTGGGTGAGCCAGAGGCTAAAAAACTGAGCTAGCTCACACTCACTCAGCTTAGAGGGAACACCATTTGTAGGTACAGCCAAAGTACAGAGGTGGCCGAAAGGCCTCGCATCTCAGCTAAAGCAACCTTTTCGCCACCAAGCCCAAACCAGCCATAAATTTGTGGCCTGCGAGATCCCAGCATGTTCCTGTTCTAGCAGTCCTAAAAAAAGTAAAGGTTTCCCTTGCTCGAAAGCCAGGCGAATTCGACTCTAGGGGGCGGTGCTCATCTCCATTTCCAAGCTGAAGAGCCAGCGCTGTCCAAAGACATTTCCGTGGTCATGTGGCCGGCACGACTAAACGCCGAGGTGCACGGAATGCTGTTACCTTCCCACTGAAGCAGTACCTATTTATCTACTTGCAATTTCTTGCTTTCGAACTGCTAGGTTGGCAGGAGCTGGAACTAGAGACGGGAGCTCACTCTGTCACGCAACAATAGGGTCTCGAACTGCCGGTCTGCAGCTCAGTGTCTTAACCTCTGAGCCACCACGGCTTACCAGCAGTCCTAACCAAACTGCAAACACAGGAGATAGAATTCAGCAGGGGGTTGCCATGAAATGGCTGATGGGCTACGATTCAAGCATTCGTGACTGAAGAGATTCTCTCCCCCCCCCCCCAAATAGTGGGCAAAATGCAGTTTCCTTCCCTCTGTTTCTCACTTCGATGGATAGATCTGTGCACGGACTGTTCTATTTCAGGCTGCAGCTGGGGATTACATTATAAAAAAAAATCCCCTGCACAGGATAAAACAGTTGCTAAGAGGAAGAGATCTAGTCTAATCCTTCCCCCCAAACGTGCTAGTTTTCTAGGCAGAGGGAATGGTGTCATATGGAGGGGGCACCCGGTCACGTGATTTGCCCTCTGGCAGTCGGAAGCGGTACAGCTGAGACACACATTTAAGTACTGCGGTGCCAGTAGCTGGCAAATCCCTGCGCCAAAGAGAAACGCAAGGCCCTCACCCGTAAGAAAGTGTCCAGAGCTCCGTTCTCCATGTACTCAGTGATAATCATCATGGGGTTCCCTGGTAAAAAGAAGGAAAAAAAAATCAGAGATGTCCCCCCTTTGGCCAGGCACATAGTGATAGTGGGGCATTTCGGGGCCCTGCCCCCTTAATCGAAAGCCCCGCCCCACAAATAGCCATGCCAGACGTCTTGTTTTTGCATGTTTCTCAAAGGTTCATGGGGATGCTTTTGCAAGACTCACCATGACCTCCGTGGTCTACAGCCGGACTGGGCTAGCAGAGAGGGGGATTGTTGGAGATCTACTGAAGGAGCCCTTCTAAGCTTTCTTGCCCTGTGGGAGGGAACTCAGAAGGCAATTAAATGCCCTCTGAGCTGTGTTTTCCTAAGAACAGGGTTGCCACTAAAATTTTATTTTTCATTTCCCTTACTTTCCCTGACCACCATTCAAATATAACCACGAGTTTAAAAAATGAATCGTATTGCATTCATGCAAGGTAAGGTTCCACTCTACGACGACACAAGTCTCAACTGCAAAAAATATTTGCCAAAGAGATTTAATATCAGCTTCCTTCAACATTCACTGCAGCAACATCTGTTTTGCAATTGCACCAAAGATTACACCAAGATACAAATTTCAATTCAAGTAAACTCTGAATGCTAAGAAATGACATAACATTTGTGTTATTGTTTTAAAGGTACACTAAAAATTATATAAACGTTCGATCTAAAAGGGTTGGGAAAGGGCATCCTTGAGTTCTACTTGTATTCTGCTACTTCCCTATTCCAGTTGCCACAAGAACAGATCAGGCTCTTGCAGCAGCAGGTCAAAAATCCACGGCTTGAATATATTTTCATCACAATTTCCCTGACTTCCCCTGACCAATTTTCATTTCCCTGACTTTCCAGAAAGTGGGAAACCTGTAAGAACTGACGCGATTGCTGCCCTGTCCCTTGAAAGGAAGGGTTCGAACAAAAAAAATCCCGGCTACGGGGCTGCTTTTGGCTCCCCCTTACCCTCTGCTCCCATCCATGCCTTTGACAGCGGCCCGGATGGCATCTTGACTGAAATCACACATTCATTTTCACTTTACGAAGTTACAAAGCTGCCTTCTATGGAGACAGGCCATTGGTCCCTCTATTCTGCTTTATATACTGTACTGCCCTGACCTGGATACCCCAGGCTAGCCTGATCTTGCCAGATCCCGGAAGCTAAGCAGGCCAGCCTTGGCTAGAATAAGAGCGGCCTCTGGAGGATACCAGGGGTGTGAAGCAGAGGCAGGCAGTGGCAAACCACCTCTGAAACGTCTCTTGCCTCAAAAACAAGTCTCGCTTGCCACTTAGTGGTGCGCAACGCTAAAAGAGCTGGAACTTCTGGCTGCCAGACAATCTGAGGATCGCCTGGCTATACTACACACAAGGCCATATGATGATGACAATAATGACGATGACGACGACAACAACAACAGCGACGTCTACTGTACTGAGAAAGCTGGTGGCTCTTCCCAAGGCCAAAAGCGTGGCTCATCCTCCAGTCTGAAAGCCTTCCAAACTGGAAATTCCAGGCACTGAACCCCAGGCCCTTCCACATGCAAAGCAAGGGAACCAACCGATGAGCATTAGAACCCCTTATAACAGTCTCGTGTTTGTCAGTGATTGGCTGTTGCAAAATAAGACAGGCTGATCCCAAGGCAGACATTCCAAAGGATGCCCCTTAACAATGCTACAGTCACCTGGATGGCCCAGGCAAGCCGAATGGGTCAGATCTGAGAAGCTAAGCAGGGTTGACCCTGGTTAGCACTTGGATGGGAGACCACCGAGGAAATCCGGGGTTGCCGTGCAATGGCAAACCATCTCTGTTTGTCTTAAAGGTGCCACTGGACTCAAACTTTGCTTGTATGAGAACAAACTTAACGATTAACCACTTGCTACCCTACTGTCACAACACCTGCAGCCTCGACCTCCCCAATGTGTGGGCCGGACCTGGCCGCAAAGACCTCCCCTTGCACCACCACCAAGTGAATGGAAGACCTGCCGCCCTGAAAATCAATGTTCAGGCTCCTCTTCTCCCGGCAGGCACTCACAGACACCCGTCCTTCCTATTCCCCGCTGAGGCAGCTGTCGCCTAAGCTGGAATTTCAGTCCCCACTGCGCTCTTACGTTTCGTGACGACTCCCTCCAACCGCACGATGTTGGGGTGATTAAACTGGCCCATGATGGTCGCCTCGCGCAGGAAGTTCCACCACGTTGAGTCTGAGTAACTCGATTTCAAGGTCTTGACGGCCACGATGACACGTTCCTTCCCTGCTAAGCGCAGGGTTCCCCGGTAGACCTCCCCGAACTCGCCTGTGGAGCATGCGAAGGAAAGTGGACCGGTTACTAGGAAACAGCGAATGGAGGCCCTCTAGGGTTGCCAAGTCCGACCTTCTTCCCAGTGGGGCGGAATCTTCGGGGTTAGCCAGGACCTTTGTATGACATCATCACGCCACCGACGTTGCATGGCAACACTCTAGCTTTTGAATAAAACTCTATGGTTTGAGCTCAAATTTACCATAGAGTTTTGCCTAAAAACTAGAGTGTCGCTGTGCAACACTGGCAGTGTGATGACATCACTTCCGGGTGACGTCATTGAACTGCGTTTTGGGGGCTTTGCGGGCGGGGAGGAGCAAAAGTGGGGGAACCCCCTCCCGGACTGGGGGGCTGGCCAACCTAAGGCCCTCCAAGATATACATGGCAAGACCCCAAAATATTCCCACCTTCGCCGATAACGGTCTCGATGTTGACAAGAGATGGGTCCAGCTCCTTTGTGAATTCTAAGACTCCCCGGCTGGGATCCTCGTAGGGCTGGAGATCTACATAAGGCTTCAACCAGATCTCATCTGT